ACAAATATTTTTTAACTACTTTACGATCACCTTACTCAAATATTCAATTCGTGTATCTGTGAAAATAATTTAGTTGAAAAGTTTCTAATTTATTTTATCGAGAGAAAGAGACGAAAAGGGGAAAGCTATATACCGATCCAATAAATTTCGATATCGCGAGTTCATCTACGATCCAGTAGCAAAGCCAGTACATCGCGCACATTAAGATTCACCCGTCCGCAGAAATCCTCTTCGACCGACTCTCACTCTGGAAAGTTCGAAAAGGAGAAGATATCGTACACCCTTGGCTCATCCCCTGATGCAGCCGTGTTTAAAGAACTCCAATAGACGAGAGCAAAACTGTTCGTTCCCTCGAGAGCTTTCTTAAAGCTGTCGGCCGAAACGACCAGGGATATTCTTTATCGGGCTTCGCAACGAAAATCTCACAGGAACGGTCGATAGGTTGGTACCTATCAGCTCTTTTTGAAACTTCACACTCAATATACAGGATATTTTCACTGGTAGAGTAAATCGCGCGACGTAAGCAATTGACTGGATTATTTTTTTGATTCTTTGCTTCCCTTCGGACTGTTCGTTATGATAGATACGTATAATGGATAAATTATTATCAGATACAAATGTTATATTCAAAAATGTACACAAAGTACTAAATATACGTTATAATACATTTGTTTCTTTTAGGGAATTGCAATCGTTTAGTCAATAATCTTTTTCTAGATTTTCCTTCTTCGATATTTACTCTTTCGCGTTTCACGTTGTATACGGGTAACATTCTTTCAATTTTTATAAGCTACTAATTAAACAAATGATATGAAATGATAAATTAAAAAAAGTGATTCAAGTTGTTGAGAATTGTAGATCTTAATCGTAGAAATAAAAGTAAAGGAACACTACGATTACACTTAGAATTTATATTAAAATAGTTTTAGATTTATTTAATAAACGATTTACAGAATCTTCGTCGATACACATTTGCACGCGTCTCACCACTCTCTTTGTCTCATCATCTTCCATATCACACTGCTAACGGAACAGTTGCATTCATCCGTTTTTCGAGACGCTGTGCACATACGTACTTCCATACACTCATACTCACATACGCGTGTCACTACTACACGGCTAATCTAGTTAGCACACAAAATTATACATATCTCAATACAAATACATCAATACTACTAAAATATATACATACATACAAATACATACTAAACGGATTATACGAAATTATAAGTTAAGAAGACATATCTATTCGTTTTCTTTCTACTCGATCAAGTAAAAAAAGAAAATTAATTACATTAACACCCATCGGGAAGCTCAAACACGCTAATTGCTTGAATGAAACACTGCGTATGCGTGTCGCGTATGGTGTGCGTATTCATATAGGTATAGGCAGATGAAAGGTTAGCATGAGTAGACCGCCGGCAGGCATACGTCGTCTGGGAAAGGCCCGGCTAATTTTGCTGGCTACGGCACAGGCGACCTGATGCCGACGTATGAACGCGTTTCCGTGAGGTGCACACCCGGAATTCGTGCCCTGTGGCTGCCGAGCCCGAGCTTCTTCGGTAAATGTTTACCTCTGCGCCGCTGCCAGCCGATCTATGTATTATTATCGGACCCTTGCAAGTTGGCTTACGACGTCCAACACCGTCTGACCATCGACCGTACTCTATCTACTGCGCGGTTTACACACTGTATCTACGTACGAAGACCCGCGTTCGGACATTTACGATGGGACTGCTGATTTTTAAGGCGATCTTCGCTTCGAGTAATATTTCGAGATAATTGGCAAATTAATGGAAACGTGTGTTTGGAAAAGGGGATTGGCTTACCTGTTTTATGGTATAGTAAATGGAATATTTCATTGTTTTAGTTAAGCATCTTTCCAAACGTATACAAACACAGAGACTGTTGTGAGTTGCTGAAACATACCACCGAGGAAGTATAGTGTCCTATATTGTACTTCAAATATAACTAGAAAAAGGAAACATAACTTGGAACAAAGTTATTTCTTTTCGCTAGAACATCGACTATGCAAATGAGAAAAGAAATAGCCTGCCGATCAATTTTTACAGCTTCCTGGAAATAGTAATCATACGAGAAATCATAAAACAAACCCAGCAACTTCTCGTCGAGAACTCGAGAGCAAATAATCAAAAATTCAAAACTCGATATAAGATCCAAACTATATGTACATACGTGCGCGTATCTGTATGCTGTTGATATTCTCAAGAAAATCATTCAGCGATATCCGTAAATTTATCGAGGAGTATGTCCAAATATTTTTGTCATGCAATAATGAAACGCGATTTTAATGATCTTATGAGGGAGGTCAGTGTGCTCGATCCCTGAAGCACGAATATGTGTAACACGTGCAAGCGATCACTGTCGAAAGAAATCGGAAAAACGACGGAGGGGCAAAGTCGCGTCAGCGGCGTGACTGGCGAACGGCGGTCTTAAATTCTAGGTATTTTGTAAACAGCGACGCGGCCTGCGCGAAACAGAGGATCGCGTGCGACCACGGCCTTCGGACGATAACGTTAATGGACTTCATTTACATCGCATAATTATAGCGGGCGGTCGAGTCGCGTATAGATTACGCGTGAGGTGCAACGACCACAAAGAATCAAATACGTCCAAAATAATTGTTCGTCGCTTACTTTGCTTAAAATTTGGGAATTTCTACTTACGATTGGTCAATTAAATTTTTCATACATTATTTTATTAACTGAGGGTCACAATGTTGTAGGTTGCCTGTCATTTTTCATAAAACCTAGTATCTTAGGTTTATCGTTATAAGAAATTTAATATAACATTCGAGTTATGAAAACGTATGACGTAAATAATCGTGAAACTAAAATGACGATGATCTATGAATCGAAATACGCGATTAAATGCAGGCTCTCAAAATCTTCTCGCTTTAGTATACTAGGCACATAGAATATACGAGTAATACGATATGTTCGTTGTTTTATATTCGGTTTATTATGGATTACTATTAGTTTGGATCAGTTTTGCATTAGGTTTATTGCTACATCGTTTATTACTTTATATTAAGATTTAACGTCTTCGAGTTTTATGATATAGTTTGACGAAGTAATAAAGTTGTATGATATATTGAAACATTGGATGGGAGCAAAATAGAGGGTATTTGTACATAGTAGATCATCTTGATCGAGATCAATTATTGTTGATCATTGTATGACATGGTTGAACTATCGTCTCAAAATATCAAGGAACATATCAAGCACAGGTCGTCGAAACAATTGTAATATATTGTAATAAATGTTGGACAAATACTGCGTTATTAATTCCAGGCAAAAGTATAATTTTATATAAATTATACCGAAGATAAAGAGGGAAATAAGCATAAATTCGTATATTTTTGTCAGACAATGAAACTTGTGAAACATCGACAAAGAGGAAATCATTCTGATCGTGAGAATGATAGAACGTTATAACTAAATTGAATTTCATTCGGTGTTTATTCGAAAGGAAGCAATAAATGCCTGTGTTTACGATTTATTTTTCAAACAGTGTTTTTAACTGTAAATTAATTTTTTACGTAAATTAACTTGTATTATATAAACTAAAAGAATACATTTAATTAAAAGCATGAAGTTTTATAATAAACTCAATTCTCTTTTTCTAGCTCTTCTTTTTCCTCCAGCTGCATTCTTTTTATAGAAAATAATGAAATATTTCCTTGGTTATGATAAAACCTATTTCATTCTCCCTTCTCAGCGCAGTAAATTGCCAACCTAATCAACCAGTTCGACAACAAACCAGACAAACGACACTGTCTACAAACGAATCACGAATAGCTCGTCTCAGACACGAGCACAGTCATCAACGGGTTAATAATATCTGCACCATGCACAATAAATACTAAACATCATCTCGTCTCTTTATGCAGGTCACCATACGACACGGTCACGCCAATCTTCAATAGTTAAATTCTCAACAAAATCGAGCGATGATATTAGGCTTTCGAATAGTTTAAAATTATTATATCTGACGAACCGGCTAGATTCTCAATTACTTTTTCAAGATAACACGAATCATCGTCAGCAAACGCTGTTTCTTGTTCTAGATACGAGATAACGCGCAACTAGTGTCACTTTGCGTCGTTGCACGCGAATGCAATTATGACGATGCATCGCGTTGACTAAAAAATATATAAGCATATAAAAATATTTGGTTTCAAGTTAGATTTTTCAAGTTACATTTTAGCGAACAATTATATTTTAATTCGCGTTATACACGTCACTAAGTACCTGAAGAGATTGCAGTTGCATTTCAACAAAATATTGGATCATTCTTCGAGAATGGCTTGATTCGTTGGAAAGCGATATATACAGAGAATTTATAAAAAAAAAAAATAGTACCGATCTTTCACATCTTTTCACATATTCTTTCAGCATCGATGTATCGTTAAAAACGTCACATTTTATACCGCTTTGAAACCGTGGAATGCGTATAAACCATATAAACGAGACGTTAAAAATTTCGCTAGAAAAAGAAGCAAAGGGAAAGAAAAACAGAAACAGCCTTTTGCTCGGAAGAACGCGACAACGAAATGGAGGAAACTCGTCGTTTTCTACTTGCCCGGTTCCCAAAACGCTCGACGACATTAGGGAGAACGCGTTTCAGCGTGGTACAGCCGAGCGGCGTTACTCTGCTTCTTTTTCAGCGTCGCGTTTGCGAAAATTCATCTCGTGCGATGACACCGCGGAACACCAATTATAACTTCGCGTCGTTTTGCGACCGGCGTCGATTTAATGAAGACACCGCGTCGCGTAAACAACGTTTCACCCGGCCGAAACGAACTTCCCAATTAACCGCCGGTAAAATTACATTTCCCGAATCTACCGCGCCCAAAAACGTTGATCAAACCCACGGTTTTCGACCTGTAGGAGTACGCACGTGCATCGAAATTATCACATAAACGAACTACGATATCCGGTAAACGACTTGGCTGAAACCCTAGTCTCAACACTTACGTAGCTCCTGTAGGACGCCATGATTCGAGCAGCCTCCCCTCCTCGATCGAGCGAAAGCGGAAGGTTTCCAAGGGTGAGATCTCCTGATCGCTCGAGGCGGATTCACCGATCACCATCGACCACCGACACCATCGACGACACCAAAACAACCAGCACCACCACCACCACCAACACCAAGCACCAGCACCACCACCCGCAGCGTGCACCACGTTCGCTTCACCGTGACACGCGGGCGGTTCGAGCCGAAAAGACAAGAGAAGAAGGAAGCTGCGGAGCTAAGAAGAGGAAGAAACCGGTGAATCGAATGATCGAGGTGGAGAAAGATGCGAGAACACAGACAGATAAAGCGAGAGAGAAAGAGGCGGAGGCACGAGAGACAGATAGAGCGAGATACAGGAAACTAGAGAAGGATTAAACGAAAGAGGGATAAGAAGAGACGAGTGAGGCCAAACGTGGAGAACCGATCGAACGACGAACGGTTCGACGAAGCGTCGTCCCCGAC